ATGGTGAGCATCACACGCTAATGCAACAGAGAACAATAGAAATTTGACACATACTCGACAAGTTGGAAGAATTATGAACCTGGCGCCCATACTCTTGGTAATTAAACAAATTCTTTTAGAGCTTAAAACACCTTTTTACTGTTTCAGTTATTTGACAACAATCGAACCGCCCTTTCTCAAAGAAACAAGAAGTGTTTTTCTTAGGCGCAAAATCAAACTGCTTGTGACAAATGGGGTTTTTCCCTGTTCTTGCAAGGCAATTACAATTAAGAACACCGCGTAACTTTTGAAATTTCAGCAACGTTCATAATTCATAAAATCAACTGAAAACGGAAGACTAATAAAACGGCATTGGCATAATCTTCATTATCTTGACAAATTCTTGGCTGAGTTCAAGCACCTGGAGTTCAATTTCAACTGTAACCCAGGTCACCGTGTTTTAATGTGAGTAAACAAATTTTCAGTCATCATCGTCCCTGTTCATTAGTTTAAATTTTGTTCCACTTCCATTTGAATTCTGATCTTGGCAAAGTTGACACACTGAAGTTAGTGGCCTTATGTTTACATATTTACACTTAAAGCTGTGAAAGATCACAAGATTTGAGCGCAAACTGGATTAAGTGATGTGGATTGTCACTCTCCTGTACTTAATTTCAAGCGGTGGGTGTTCTTGAATAACTTCTGCCAACTTCGCGATGGGTCTTCTGGTCCTAGCTGATTAATTTTTTATTCAGTGTTAACTTAGTGTGGCATTAATGCCTAAAAATTTCATGTATATGCAAGCATAATGAGGCAACTGAATAAGACGTTTCTAGGGGTCGTATATCCCATATCAATTAGGACTCAAACAACAGAGCAGTTCCTGGATCTTCTGCCTTCGTTTCGAGCCATCAAATAACCCTCAGCAATGATTAGCCTACGAGTATATGTCTCCTGTTTTCATTGACTCGATCAGGGGAATATCTTTAGCCTCTTTGTGTAAAGGCGTTTCTTAATTTCGCGGGAGGATTTGCAAATAATGAAGGTCGAGTCATGAGCCGTCAGCAATCGATTCGGAAGAAGATGCGTCACGCGAAATTTGCGTTAACAAAATTAAATGGAAAAATTCGAGCGAGATCCATTCGTCAGTTTATTTATGAATTCTCTCATATACTTTTTTAGATGCCGCAACATTTGGAGAGGCCAGCATTTTGTTCCCAGAAGAAACATTGGGTAAGATTTCTTACGTCGAATGTTTTCCTTCAATCTTCGCCTTTTTGCTCTCTACTGCAGCTTCCAAAATTGTCACTGACTGTGAGACCGAAGGTCGACGGCCGGCAGCTAAAACTGAAATCAGGGTTGTCGATATTAATTTGACAAATGCTAATAGAAAGAACTTTGGAATCTTTTTAGGATGAAAAAAGCTACAATGCTTACATTACCTCGCGGAAGTTTAATTTTGGAATTTAATATTCTACATAAGTATAAGTTACAAACCTGCAGATCAATATCACTGTTTGCTGTTTGAGATTTCGACTCAATACCAAAATAGATTACGACATGCATACGTTCATTGGTTAATTAACTTCTGCCTATCGAAACTTGACCTACGAAATATCTCCTTTTGCAGACAGTACGGAGCAAGGTGCTGAGGTGGTTAACTTCAGCTGGTTGTTAAATAATAATTATTTTGAGGTTTCGTCATCATCTTGTCTCTTATCGATGAAGGATAAAATTGATGTGTGAAAACGGCTATCTTTAAAACAAGGAACGGGGAATAGGAGGACGGGGAATGGGAATGGGTGTTGCAGAATTCTCCATTGCGATAGGGAAAATCTGTATCTTTCCGATTTCTTGCGTTTATTTACGATCGATCGAACTTTCTACTTTCAAACAATCTCGATCTTCTGTTACAAGATAGTGATTCCATTTATCTGCCATTACAACGGAAATACACGCCTAAATTACGTAAATCCAAGATTGACATCTCTTATTCGTGATTTGTTAAAATCCCAAGTTATTTCCTGTCAACTTGATTTTAACAGCTGTTTACACTTCTGTAATTTACACCCGCACGCACGCAAAATTGGCGGCACGAATGACACATCACGCAACATCACGGGATTTACGCAATTTCTTATCTAAATTATTTCAGACCATTAATGATTTTCTATATCACGAACATTCTTACTACAAGTCTGTCATTACCGTGCTACGCTCAATTCTACACCTTAATCTTAAGTAACCCAACTATCATCAAATAAAAATTTAGAAAATAAACTGTCACGCGAAACGCTTACAGGATTATCACGATACACTCCCCCCGTTGACTCGTTTACGAGTCAAGCATTAGTTGCGATTTCCACCGAGCATCCAATACTGCATTTCTACGAGGGAAATTCCTTGTGGGTTTTCCCATACCTCGATTACAAACACCAGTTGTCCGTAGTCCCTCCCCTTCACTCCGAACCTCTAACGGATAGAGCTTGTGAACTGGCCTGGAAATGTGCACAGGGTTCCAGTTTGTAATAACTATTAGTTTAGCTCCTCTAATGATACTATCCCTACCTGTAACTAGACCTTCCACTCACCCATCTTCCATTCTCCTCTTTTCTTTTCTTATTCATAGACTACAACTACATCTCCTATTTCAACTGTTCTTCCCTTCCTTCCTGATGAAAGGAAGAACCGGTGAAATTTTCTAAGATTTGTTAAGTATTTCTTTCGCCACCTGTTCCAAAAATGCTGCATTCTGGTGCTAAGATACTTAAATCTGGAAGAGCAGTTTTCTTCTCTTATCACATCGTCTGGTTCTACGATCTCATCCGGCAATGCTTTGATCCTCCTTCCGCGTGAGGGGGCGTTAAGACTTTTTGAATTGAATTGAGCGTAGATTCCACTTCGGTGAGCAGAGTCGAGAATTCGTCAAAGGACAACCTAGCGTTACCTAGTGCTTTCCTCAAACAATCTTTAACACTTGCTACTATTCTTTCAAAAATCCCACTCCACTAGGGTGCCCTTCTAGTTAAATTTCCACTCTATTCTCTCGTACTCTAAATCTCGGGGTGGTTGAATGGCTTATTCAACGTTTTCTCGGTCGCCTAAAAGGTCTTTGCATTGTCTGATACGATCAGCGCTGGCGCCCCATATCTAGCGATGAACCTTCGCAAACAACGCCTAAATACGCAAGCTGATAAGTCTTCCACTAGTTCTAAATGTGCTGCCCTGGTCACGCAACATGTAAACAAGGTGACATAAGCCTTGTCCATCCGTCCCGATCTACCCTTCACGTAAAAAGGCCTAGCAAAATCTACTCCCATCCTTGAAAAAGGTGGTGCTTCTCTGCTTTCAAGTCTGGAAGCACAGCCGCCGGCGGGTTGTTGTATGGTTTACCAACCAGCTTTTTGCAAACAACGCATTCACCCAGGATCTTCTTTACTACTTGCCTGCCTCTTGGTGCCCAGTACTTTGATCTCAACTCCGCCAATGTGACTCTTACTCCACTGTGATGTACTCTCGGATGACATTCTTCCATGACTAACCTTGTCAACCTGTGCTGTCGGGGTAAAATTTCCGGTCCTCTGGCATCAAACTCTAGATCTGAATTAACTAACCTTCTCTCACATCTCGAGGCTTCCCTGTCTTCTTTTACGCCAAGTTCACTTACCAGTTGCTTAAAGTTCTCTTGTTTCTTTAGGTCGTCTTGGGCAGACTTGACCCATTCCACTTCTGCGTTTTTCAATTCAGCCACTTTTAACTGACCTGTGCGCCTAGTCCTTTGTCCAGAACGTGCCCTTAAGTTGTCAACAAAACAAATCACCCATGCAGTTACGGTTACGAGCCTTTGCTTCGTGCTGTAATTGTTTGCGCTAACCACAGCAGCGATGCCAGATGTTTGTTTCGTATCTATTAACATTACCTTCTCTTCTGTTGGACAATACGACCAGTCTTCTCTGTTACCTAACTTCAAGATTTCATTCACTCTGTGGCGCATGAATTGTTTCCATTCTCCTTTGTCCTGTATTCAGGTAAGCGCTGTTTTGCCTTCCAGCCGATACTTCACGCCATCCACTTCCAGCTGTGGTTGGGCATCCCTTATCGCGTGCATGAGTTGGGCAAGTATCCTCGCTGCCATCAACTCTAAGCGCGGAATTGAAAGCACTTTTACAGGGGCAACCCTGGTTTTGCTCGCAATTAATGTGACATGGGTTTTCCCGTCCTCAGCCCTATACACAAGATAAACCATGGCGCAATACGCTTTCTTGCTCGCATCCCCAAGCCCATGCAAGTTACACCCTATCACGCACCCTCCCCCCGTTTCGTAAAGGCACTGATTTTAATTACCTCCGTTTCCGCCTAATCTTGAACCCACTTGACCCATTTTCGTTTGATTTCTCCTGTCAACTCCTCGTCCCAATCGGTTTTGCCCTTACAAACTTCCTGAGAGAGTATTTTCATGCTCACGGTAATTGGACTTATTATTCTCAATGGGTCACTTTGCGCAGTTAAAATGGATTATGTCGCTCTCACAATTCCACGCCAGACCCAACACTCTGTAATGTGTTTCTACTTTGTCGTAAAACGTTTGTAATATCCGAGGGTCTCTGTCGCCGCACATGGGCTGTACTTTCAGGAGTTCGCTGATGTGGGCTCTTTCGATGGCGATCTTTTTTCCAAATCTTCTTTGTAACAGCGTTGTAGTTTGCCTCGGTCAGGGAAAACCCGGCGATGCTAGCTTTGGCACGTCCTTCAATCCATCCACGAAGATTAGAAAACTTATCTACGTCCGATAGTGAGTCATTGCAGTGAATAGCACTTCTGGTTACCAGTCCCAGAACTCTTGCCACTCGTGAATTCTTCCACTAAACTTCTTTGGTAGGGGTGCCTTTGCCTTTTCACTCTTCGGTAGTGGAATTAACAGGGGTTGGCTTGTCGGCGGTGGTGCGGCAACAGGGTCTCATTTCAGCTTCTCTTCGATCGCGAGTACCGCTCCTCGTATCTCTGCCTTGACTTTATCTGAATCTTCAATTTTGGCAGCAATCATTTCTTCTCCATTTTTAGCCTGCAGAGCAGGCCTAATTTTGGCGAGCGAGTGCTCAGTAATTTCATAACGAATATTATAACCGCCATCTTTGATTTTAATGGCAGAGGAAGACTGGGGAGAGAAATGAATTTGTACCAAGGGGGGCGATCGACGGCCAAAAACAAGGAGAGGGGCGGGGGTGGGGGAGTAGAAAATCTAGAATCATATCATCTAGGCGTTTCAGCGTTTCCAATTTTTCTCTGAGGACAATCTCTGTCTGCATAAGACTGTCCTTCTCCGTTCCATCATAGCCTTTAAAGAGGTCTCTCGCTGTTCCTAAATTCAATTAATTTAAAGGCCATTATTCACCACTTGGAAGGTTTATTTGGATCCAACATAATGACCAGCTCCCGGTTGGCTTGTTAGCTCAGCTGGTAGAGCGCTGCACTGGTATCGCAAAGGTCATGAGTAGAGAGGTAGAGAGGGAACCAGTGGCTCATAATAGTTAAAAAAAAAACACTTAATCCACCTAAAGCCACCTTTAAAGTATCAAAAGGTCTGGGGCTGGTTTCTTCTTGGGGTAATCTCAGATTTCACTTTGTTACACGATCATTATGACATGACGATTAACACCTTTCTTTGTTTCCTGAAAGAGTTCAAAATTTGTCTTCTCACTATTTAACATTCTTTCAGTTCGAGCGGGAAGTAGAGGGAAGCCATCAGTAGAAGAGAATTTCCCTGTTTTCTTCTAAGGCGACTTTTCTCTTTTACCATAGGATCAACCTGTAACAGTTCGCTTGGCATGCAAACTTTCTGGATTCAGGAAGCTGCCATAACCGCCTCGTCAATCCGCGACAATGCCCATGATCCCGCCCAAGCACGTCTCCATGGTAACGGAGCGTGGATGCCGCTTATTCAAGACGCCAATCAATTTTTGCAGATAGACTTCGAAAACGAAGCTAACGTGTCAGCGGTCGCTATCCAGGGTCATCCTACAAA